TTTATACAAAGTCAGCTTATTGCCCCCATAATCTGGGTCCTCATTTCACCTACCTTAGAAAGGATGGAAGGCTGAGTCAACCTTGAGCCTTGGCGAGATTCGAACCTGCAGTAATTGCAGGCAGCTGGTCTTAATAACCAGCTTAATAACAGGGTGCCTTAGACCACTGTACTACCAAGGCTCTTAGTTACGATGTTCAGGTTTTAATATTCCTTGCGACGTTTTGCTTTTTTCCCCAGAATACACCTGCTGTTATTTCGACTAAAAATTGATTTCCCAATGGCGGAGATCCCATTTCCCCAATTCTCTCTCTTCTTGCCAAAAGGATCCTGATTTATTTATTTTTTTTTCCTCCAGAAAATAGAAAATGTCTCTTTATTTTTCCAGAAGGATTCACCACTATCATATCTGAGAGTATGATCAGTCGTGTTCACTCAGATTCTGCCGTCATTCGTTATCTTAATGGAAAAGTTAAGCAATACTCTTGTTTTTTATCATTTTTTTAAAAAAAATCACTGGCAATTCCGAAAGGCTGGATTTTGTCATGCCAGTCGCCTATTTAGACTATTTGTTTAATCCTCCCGTTTCAAATGGAAAGGTTTTGTGTTAGGAAAAATCAACAAGAATGCACAGGTGCTCATTTCCAACATTGCAATGATTTTAATCTCTCTGGCCGCAGTTTGATAGAAAGACTTTCAGGCAATGAAATCTCTGCTATTTAAAAAGGGCTTCGGGAGCCGAGCTCCCTTTAAACAACTAATTATCACCACGCTGCCTATGCCCTGGGATGTCAAATCCCCCTAGTAGGGCTATATTACTGATTATCCTTCTCATCTGTCCGATTACCCATTTCCTTAGGTTCTTATGACTGCAATGTGTTGTTGTATCTCATGATTTATGTTGATTGCTTTTATTTAGTATCCTGTTAATGGCTTGTGTTGATTGCGTTATTTAGTTCCCTCTGATTATCGCTGAGTGATGACTGTGATTTATGATTGTATTTTATGATGATGATGATGATCACTTGTTGGCTTGTATGTACACTGAGAGCTTATGCACCGGAGACAAATTTTTTGGGTATGTCCAGTCACGCTTGGCCAATAAAGTATTTTATATCCTATTCTATCCCATCCCATCTCATCCCATCCTATCCCATTCTCCTTCTTTCCTCCTCCTCCTCCATTCTATTCTATTCTATTCTATTCTATTCTATTCTATTCTATTCTATTCTATTCTACTCTACTCTACTCTACTCTACTCTACTCTACTCTACTCTACTCTACTCCTTATTTCTATTCTATTCTGTTCTATTCTATTCTATTCTACTCTACTCTACTCTACTCTACTCTACTCTACTCTACCCTACCCTACCCTACCCTACCCTACTCTACTCTACTCTACTCTACTCTACTCTACTCTACTCCACTCCACTCCACTCCACTCCACTCCACTCCATATTCTATTCTATTCTATTCTATTCTATTCTATTCTATTCTATTCTATTCTATTCTATTCTATTCTATTCTATTCTATTCTATTCTACTCTACTCTACTCTACTCTACTCTACTCTACTCTACTCTACTCTACTCTACTCTACTCTATTCTTATTCTATTCCATTCCATTCCATTCCATTCCATTCCATATTCTATTCTATTCTATTCTATTCTATTCTATTCTATTCTATTCTATTGGCAACTGACTTATATTTATGACGACTGCAGTGTCACGGAGTTGTGGGATCCCCTTTTGTGACCTTCTGACAAGCAAAGTCAATGAGGAAGCCGGGTTACTCACTTAACAACCGGGTTACTCACTTAACGACTGCAGTGATTTTACTTAACAACCATGGCACAAAAGGTGATAAAACGGAGTGAAAGTCACTTAACAAATGTCTCGCTTAGCAACAGAAATTTTGGGTTTAATTGCGGTCATAAGTCAGGGAGCGCTTGTACAGCTAAGCTGAATCATAGGGCCGGAAGGGACCTTGAAGGTCTTCTAGTCTAACCCCCTGCCGAAGGTAGAACGACAGAGCATTTTAGGTGGCTCAGTGGCTAGGACACTGAGCTTTGTCGATCAGAAAGGTTGGCAGTTCGACGGTTCGAATCCCTAGTACAGGTCTCCTGCGTGAGCAGGGGGTTGGACTAGATGACCTCCAAGGTCCCTTCCGACTCTGTTACTGTTAAAGAGACTGTTACCACATGCAGTGGACTCCAAAATAAGGGCCGAGAAAAGGAGACGAGTCCTCAGGATACCTTTCCTCCTAGAAATCTCATTTTAGCGAAGCATTTGATTGTCGGTTCCGTCTCATGTGGCTTTTGACCTCACACTCCTTCCGCTGAGGACGTTAACAAGGTGGGTTTTTTTTTTTGCTCCACTGTCCAGCAACTCGGCTTGCAGAAACAGAACTCCTGTCGGGAAGGAGCAAAATGGTCTGGAGACAGAGACAAATTGAGGCGGCGATTCTTAAAACATGTTTCCCTGGTCTACAAAGGGAAGGGGGAAGTTGCATCGTGCCAGGCCTCCCATAAATCAGGATTCATTGGCCAGACAAGATAAATGGGCGCAACGTTCCCGGAGAAATTAGCCATGTGGGAAGAAGGGTGGTGTCGCGTTCTGCATCTCCACGGGGCCAAGCTAAAAATGTTCACCACAAGAGGGCAGAAAGCACTGAGATTGGGGGAGAAAATTCACTTGGTTCCTTGCAAAATTCACTTCTTTCTTCCTTGAAGTTGGAGCAGAGAAAAAAGTTTGACTTCAGATTTAACAGATTAACAGAGTTGGAAGGGACCTTATAGGTCATCTAGTCCAGCCCCCCACTGAAGCAGGGGACCCTACACCATTTCTGACAGATGGCAGTCCAATCTCTTCTTGAAAGCCTCCAATGATGACGCTCCCACAACTTCTGAAGGCAACTTCTGTTCCACGGGATGATTGTTCTCACTGTCAGAACATTCCTCCTTATTTCCAGGTTGAATCTCCTTGATCAGTTTCCATCCATTATTCCTTGCCTGGCCTTCAGGTACTTTGGAAAATAGCTTGACCCCCTCCTCTCTGTGGCAGCCCCTCAAATATTGGAAGAGGGCTATCCTGTCTCCCCTGGTCCTTCTCTTCACTAGACTAGCCAGGCCCAGTTCCTGCTATCGTTCATCATAGGTTTTATCCTCCAGTCCCCTAAACATCTTGGCTGCTCTTCTCTGCACTCTTTCTAGAGTCTCAACATCTTTTTTATACTGTGGTGACCAAAACTGGATGCAGGATTCTAGGTGTGGTCTTACTAGGGCTTTATAGAGTGGTATTAGTACCTCCAAAAATTATCCCGGAGACCCCCTGATCCTTACCCTGCCTGTACTGCATTCACAGCCATGACAAACAGACGTGTATAAAATCAAAATGCCCTGTATCCATTGGGGATGGAAACATTCTCCTTGTTGCAATTGTGGTGCTGATATGCAACGTATTAAACATATTGTTCAAATTTGTCCACAACATACATTCTCTGGTTCCTTAGAAGAGCAGTCCCCAACCTTTGCGGTGTTCTGACGGATGCCCTAATTAAATCATGAGCCTCGAGCCAAGCTTCAAAAGAAATGCAGTTATTTATTAGGAGCTTCATGTTGGTTCACGTTCCAAGTGAAGCCAACTCTGACTCCATGTAATTTACGGCCCAATCTTGACCCTGTTTCCCCACTGCCCCCAGGGTGTGTCATCAGTCACTTTTGCCAATGAAGCAATTTCACAGGTTGTAGAGATGACTCCCCTCTGACTGCTGTGAGTAACCCTCGGAGACAGCCTTGAGAGAGATATGTCTGGAATGTGATTTTGTTTTTGGCTGCTGTGCTGCTTCGCCGTTTCCCCATCCCCCTTCCCTATGGCAACTCGAGAGTAGGGATGCTTTGCGAGTTGACATGTGGTTTGGCAATCTGGCTGGGAAGGGAGAGGGTAATGGGCTGTGTGAGCGGTGGGCTGGCACGCAGGCGTGCAGCTTAACTTGCTCGAGCAACGGGCTGGTGCACATGTGGGTGAGTGCCAGCCTGTTGCTTGTACATGTTGAGCTGCGCGCACACACGCACTTCGGCCAGCCATTTGTGCGGCCCAATTCTGAATAGGCCACGGCCTGGTAGTGGGCTGCAGCCCAGGGGTTGGGAACCCTTGCCTTAGATGATAAGCACGAAGCAACGCCAGAAGCAGCTGCTGGATAGCTGAATTGGGCATCCAGTTATGAGGCCACTGCTGTACCCCCCTAGAGCTTTTATGTGTAATTACATGGATAGCATGTCTGTGTTTACTTCTCTTCTGACATGTTCTCATCATACACTAAATAAGTAAATAAGACAGCCAGAAGATTTTCGATGATGGAATATCAATCTTCTTGGTTCTGGCTGGAAGGTGTAAATTTCTGGACAGCTCAGGCAAGTCTCATCAAAACAGTTGGGAACAGTTCAAAACCTATTAGGGAATGTGGACCATCAGTTTGGTCCAGTGGTGGGATCTTCCCGGTTTAACAACCGGTTCGGTGATTGCGTGCTATGCGCGCGCACACAGTTTGAAGAAATCTTCACTTCTGTGTTTCTTCGGAGGAGTAACACAGCTGATTCGCACAGCAATTGGCTCTGCCGCGCGAATCAGCTGAGAAGATAAAGGTAGGAAAATAGCACGGGCGAATGGGCGGACCCATCTGATCATTGGGACGAACCGGTTCGCTCCCAGCCGATCGTCGGAGCTACCGGTTAGCCCGAACTGGTCTGAACCAGTAGAATCCCATCCTTGGTTTGGTGTTTGCCCACATTTTTCTCCAGCAATTTATCATGACCAGAAATGGATTTCTAAACTGTAGACATCCTTGATGTCTTAACGGGGACTTGTAGACTTAACGGGGCTTTTCTTCTTTCTCTAAGCTTCTGACCTCTGCTGACTGGCCTGTTTATGCGAACCCTTAAAAAGCTCTCCATTCACGATAATCCTTTCTCACGGCTCATTCTCTTCTTCCTTCCCTCCCAGGGTCAAGAAGAAGGATAAGCCCCTGAACCTCAAGATTCACAACAGCGTGGGGAGCTGTGAGAACATCCCCGCACAACGCTCTCCTCTCCTGTCCGAACGGTCCTTGAGGTCCTTTTTCGTCGGGCACCCTCCCTTCCTTCCTTCCACTCCTCCGGTCCATACGGATGGCATGTTCTCCACAAGTAAGTCGGACCTGGCGGGGTAGTTCTGGGGGAAGGAGGAGAAGAGGGGAGGCATACAAACACACACACACAATCACACACACACACAAAAATGTTGGGCATGGGTCTTCCAATCCAGTCTTGACTTTGTTTGAAATTGTGTTGGCTATACAAGGTCCAGCGGTGGGTCAGAGGCTAAAACGCTGAGCTTGTCGACCGAAAGGTCGGCAGTTCAGCGGTTCGAATCCCTAGTGCCGCGTAACGGGGGGAGCTCCCGTGACTTGTCCCAGCTTCTGCCAACCTAGCAGTTCGAAAGCAGGTAAAAAATGCAAGTAGAAAAATAGGGACCACCTTTGGTGGGAAGAGATAAGAAGGATATCGGATCTTCGGGTCTTTCGCCGAGCCCTGAAAACTCTTCTTTTCCAGCAAGCAGGGCTGGCGTGAACCCCGCCCCCCTTTTTTAGTTTTTAATGGTTATTAATTGTTTAGTTTTAATTTGTTAATGGGTTTTAATTCGCACTGTTTTAATTCGGGCCAAAGTATATAATTCTTTTAATTAATTTTAAATTTTGTATTGTTATGTATTTTAGTTTTGGCTGTGCACCGCCCTGAGTCCACTAGGAGAAGGGCGGTATATAAATTGAATAAATAAATAAATAAATAAATAAAGAGAACAGCGTTCTGTGCATCTTTGGTGTTTAGTCATGCCAGCCACATGAAGAGCACTGGCTCTTCGGTTCTGAAACAGAGATGAGCACTGCCCCATAGAGTCGGGAACAATTAGCACATATGTGCAAGGGGAACCTTTACCTTACCTTATACAATGTCCAATGAAGGCTCCAAAGAGATCTGTGATTACTACTCAACGGTGTGCCCTGCTCTTTTTTTTTTTTTGAATTTTATTCTTTGTTCTTTAGGTCCGAGAACTTATTTTAATGGAAGGGGTGGCTGGTTGAAGTTCTTCAGCACTAATGCTGAAATTCAAAATGCAAACACCGATCCACTTTATTATTATTATTATTCTTTACTGCAACTCTTTATTGTTAGCATCTAAAGGCAGGGCAAGAAGCAGTGGATGGAAACTTAACCAAGGAAAGATTGAACCTCGAAATAAGGAGAAATTTCCTGGAAGAACAATTCATCAGTGGAATGGCTTGCCTTTATGGAGTAGATGCTCCATAACTGGAGGTTTTTAAGAAGAGACGGGACAGCCATTTGGTATGGAGTCTTCTGCTTGAGCAGGGGGTTGGACTAGAAGACCTCCACGGTCCCTTCCAACTCTGTAATTCTGATAAGACCCCTACCTCAGGCAATTATCTTCCTCTGTAGGACCAGATCAAAGGGTAGCCATAAACCCTCTCCATTCCTGGCAAATAGATGGGGAAGAAATGGAGGTAGTGACAGATTTTATTTTCCTGGGCTCCAAGATCACCACAGATGGGGACTGCAATCAAGAAATTAAAAGATGCTTGCTCCTGGGGAGGAAAGCCATGGCAAATCTAGACAGCATTCTAAAATGCAAAGACATCACCCTGCCAACAAAAGTGCGTATAGTCAAGGCGATGGTTTTCCCAGTTGCAATGTCTGGCTGTGAAAGCTGGACCACAAGGAAGGCTGAGCGCCAAAGAATGGAGGTCTTTGAACTCTGGTGCTGGAGAAGACTCCTGCGAGTCCCTTGGACTGCAAGGCGATCCAATCGATCAGTCCTAGAGGAGATCAACCCTGACTGCTCTCTAGAAGGCCAGATCCTGAAGAGGAAACTCAAATACTTTGGTCACCTAATGAGAAGGAAGGACTCACTGGAGAAGAGCCTAATGCTGGGAATGATGGAGGGCAAAAGAAAAAGAAGGGGACGGCAGAGAACGAGGTGGCTGGATGGAGTCACCGAAGCAGTTGGCGTGAGCTTCAATGGACTACAGAGGATGTTAGAAGACAGGAAGGCCTGGAGGAACGTTGTCCATGGGGTCGCAATGGGTCGGACACGAGTTTGCAACTAACAACAAAAGTCTTGCCAATGCCTACAGAGCCAAGGGCAGATGGCGTAGAGTCTTCTGCTTGAGCTGGGGGTTGGACTAGAAGACCTCCAAGGTCCCTTCCATCTCTGTTAATGCTGCTGTTATTCAGCCCTAGTCATCCCAAGTTAATTAGTATGACAGACCGGGAGATGCTCCAGAGCAGGCTTTTGACAGCACTGTCTTGCTTTTGCATCGGTGTGTCAGCCCCATGCTTCTCCTTGACAATCTGGCGGAGAGAAAAACAACCGTGTAGCCGAGGCCGGCTAACAGGAGAAGACATCCAGATGGAAGGGGTCAAGACACAATGGCTGTTGTCTGCCCCGCTAGGGCCTAAGGCTTCCCTTCGGGTGGTGCTGCTGACATCAGTTCTGATATGCAGCCCCAGCCTGGGTTGCCGAGCTTAGTTTTCCACTTGGCGCCTTGGGGGGTACTGGCATTTGTCTTGAGTTGAATGGCAGCTGCTGAGAAGGATCTCCTGAGGTCCTTTTGGGGGGGGGGAGCTTTGGCATCCGTGCTACCTGATGGTATCTTTTCAGAAGCTGCCAGTGCAGTGGCCCCGTTTTCTTGCCCTATTTACAAGGTACCAGTGGAGGAGAATATTTGTAGCTCAGGTTTGAGATGAGGAGTTCTTGGTGCTCTCGGAGCTTGCAGATGTGACATCATCAGGGATAGAAGGGAGTGGAGTTTGCAGGGAGGTGGGTGGGGGGAAGGACGAGGAGGACGAGGGCAACTGTGGGGTCCTTGGTGCTCTCTGAACTTGGTTGTTTTCTTGCAGATGATTCACGACCCAAACTAGGCAACATTATCACTGTTAGAAGGGAGTTGGATGCGTGGGGAGGAGGAGGAGGAGGAAGGACTGTGGGGTCCTTGGTGCTCTCTGAGCTTGGTGGTTTTCTTGCAGACATTTCATTACCCTACTAGATAACATCATCAGTGCTAGAAGGGAGTGTTTTGCAGAGAGGAGGAGGAGGAGGAGGAGGAGGAGGAGGAGGAGGAGGAGGAGGAGGAGGGGGAGGAGGAGGAAGAAGAAGAGGAAGAGGGAGAAGGAGAAGAAGAAGGAGGAGGAGAAGGAGAAGGAGAAGGAGAAGGAGAAGAGGAGGAGGAGGAGGAAGAGGAGGAGGAAGAGGAGGAGGAGGAGGAGGAGGAGGAGGAGGAGGAGGAGGAGGAGGGAGGAGGAGGAGGAGGAGGAGGAGGAGGAGGAGGAGGAGGAGGAGGAAGGACTGTGTGGTCCTTGGGGCTCTCTGAGCTTGGTGGTTTTCTTGCAGATGTTTCATGACCCAACCTAGATAACACCGTCAATGTTACTTACCTAATAACTAGCTCAGAGAGCATCAAGGAACCCTATTTACAAGGCCCTTGGAGAGGAGGCAAGCACTGTCTTTGCCTGGGTGAAAGATATTGCATGGATCTGTTGATTTATACTACTCTGAGTGAGACCACGCTTGGAATGTTGTGCCCAGTCCTGGTCACCACAATACCAAAAAGATGCTGAGACCCTAGAAAGAGTGCAGAGAAGAGCAACAAAGGAGACTGAGAGAGAGAAAGGGAGAGAGATGGAGAAGGAATTGTACTCATTTTATGTATTCAATTCATGCTTATACTTACATATATTATCTATTTATTTATTTTATTTTTTATTTTAAATTGATTTATATGCCGCCCTTCTCCGGAGACTCAGGGCGGCTTACAATGCGTTAAGCAATAGCCTTCATACTTTTGTATATTCATACAAAGTCATCTTATTGCCCCCACAATCTGGGTCCTCATTTAACCTACCTTAGAAAGGATGGAAGACTGAGTCAACCTTGAGCCTGTTAAGATTCGAACCTGCAATAATTGCAGGCAGCTGTGTTAATAACAGGGTGCTTTAAACCACTGTACTACCAAGGCTCTAATATGTACTCGGCAAAATAAATAAATAAATTAAATAAATAAATAAACAAGAGAAAGAGAGAGAGAAAGGGAGAGAGAATGACAAGAGAAAGAGAGAGAGAAAGGGAGAGAGAACGAAAGAGAGAGAATGAACAAGAGAGGACAAGAGAGAGGGAAAAGGAGAGAATGAGAGGGACAACGAACAAGAGAGTGCAAGAGAAAGAAAGAGAGAGAGAATGAACAAGAAAAAAGAGGGAGAGAACAAACAAGTGAAAACAAGACACAGAGAGAAAGAGAATGAGAGAGAGAGGGAGAAGGAGGGAGGGAGGGAGAAAGAGAGAGAGAGAGAAAGAGACACAGTGAAAGACCCCTCTAGGATCTGTTTAAATTCTCCTGTCATATTGAGATGCTCTCACAATTTGGCTGGCATCTCCTGGGACATTTTTTGCCTTAATTGGTTATCTGATGAACACCCAAAGGAGTGTCTCTCTCCATAGTTAGACATTTTGAAGATGAGATTTGGAGGAGGTGAGCTGATTTGGGTACTTCAGAGCAATATTTTAAGAGAGGGTCCCCTCTCCTTCCGCTAAGCCTAACAGTTTTAAAAATCTATTCCCTCCATTATGATAATTTTAGTACTTTTCTTTCTTTGTGCACTTAATAACCTCACGTAAAAATTAACCAGACGTAAACATTAATCTTCCATGAGTCCTTTTAAAAAAATTCAGTAGCCATAAATCCCAATGAAAAAAAGTTCTGGTCTCATATAATACAATATTATTCTTTAAAATGATTTGTATATGTGTTTAGTATTAGTATTTAATTTTTCTTGGCTTTTTCACAAGTTCTTTGAAGGGTCACTGAACGGAAGGTTGTAAATCAAGGATTAGCATCTAATTTTTCGTGTCTTTTTTGCAAGTTCATTGTACCTGGTAAAACGTCTTTTCATCCTGCGTCTGGCAAGGGGTTGGACTAGAAGTCCTCTTTTTTCCCCCCATGTTTTATTTATTTTATTTATATAATGTTCAATTTCCATCGAACAGTGTGTGATCTGGGTACAATTATTGTTAAACAGTCATAACCCATGTATTTGTTGTAGCATTCATCATCATAATATTGATAATAGAATAATAT